GCAAGTTCCTCTTCTCTTCCGCTACATTCATTTTCTAAGTACTGTGGGAGGGAGACGTCTCATCTGCAGGGTTACGGCGGGCAAGATATCTTATACGCTTACCTTTACATCTCACAGACATTTCATTATAGTCCACGTGGGTTACAGTCTCCCGTCTCCCGATCGGCCAACGTTGGCGTCTCAGAAAGCTTGCCAATAGCTTCCCAAAATCGTTGGTTCATCCCAATGATTTCACAAGTTCTTCCTCTACCAGATATACTTGCCAACATATGTACCCTATCATGTGCTGACAATTGACTTTAAATCCATACCAACCACCCTTAATCGTGTAAGTGCACATGTTGTACGCACCATATTATAGAGCACGCACACCAACCAGAACTGAAAGCGCTATCCCGGGATTATATTGGATAATGCCTGAAAATACTAATACAATTTGAGTGTGTAATAATCAATATCATTACCACACTGTTAGAGAATTTTAGTTCTTATCGTAAGGAACTTTGAACATTTGTCTTGTCATCGGGTAAACGGCATTCATCTCCTTGTCTGCATTCATCCACTTTTATACCATCTTGACCTGGCTCACATCACCAAAAGATTACACATATGTGTATGTATGTATGTATGTATGTATGTATGTATGTATGTATGTATGTATGTATGTATGTATGTATGTATGTATGTATGTATGTATGTATGTATGTATGTATGTATGTATGTATGTATGTATGTATGTATGTATGTATGTATGTATGTATGTATGTATGTATGTATGTATGTATGTATGTATGTATGTATGTATGTCTGACTATCTGTCTGTCTGTAGGTAGGTAGGTAGGTAGGTAGGTAGTGAATACAATAGCGGATCATTTTCTGATAAAATCTAAACCTAGAACTACTTAGTTTCGATGTCTATATCTGATACCTCGGCATCATGCTATGAAACAAGTGCGTTTTATCTTGAGAAAGAAAAAAAACGTCTTGAGCATCCTCTCAGATGCTCTACAAAACAAATTTCCTCGCAAAAGGAGCACCTACAGCGTTTGTTTGTGTAGTAATGCATTTCGGATCTGTATCCGACATTATTTCGTCCAACAACATAAAATCAAAAGTAGGTAAATTCCATCGCTTTGATATCAGAATAAAAATACCATCTTTTTTGCTTCGCATATCATTATATGCCTTTACATAGATAAAGGTATTTATAGGCAATGTTCTGTGATACTGTTAAGATAGAATATTTGAGTAAAAGTATTAGGTTTAGAATGTTCTCGAAACTTTGTTCATCATAGCAGAAGCAGCATATTTATCGTAATATATTATCTGTAACATACCATCCAAGCGGTAAATCCACGTTGACTTTAATTTATCACCGTTATATTTCCATAAGTTGATTAAAACTCATCAACATATTTTAATCACCTATTACACGATACCTGAAGCGCTCACGGTATTTATTATATGGAAAAATGGGAACCAGTAGAAAAATAGGTGATGATAATAGAGGGTATATAGTGTTGTGTCTTGCTTTGTTTGGTAGATAACAAAAAAAAGTTTTAAAAAAATCTTTGGAGAGCTTATCCTATTTGTTATTGAGAAGAATAAAAACTGTTTTCTTGGATTCGTTTTCTCTACTCTGATATAAGTTCTGTTTAATAATATTTGTTCAATTTGTACACATTTGGTAGTGTCTATGTCAAACTTCTCTTTGATAGGTACTTTTGTTTTCACCATCAATGTATCATGTTATATTTTCTTCCACTTACACAAAGAATAATGATTTTATACGTGACTCGGTCGTTGTTAATGATGTACATACCGTACCATTTGATGTTTCTAAGTCGTCAGCTATTTTAATTATGTTTGGTTTAGGCCTACCCATACTCATTTAACATAAGAAAAACAAAACAGGTAAAATTCTGAATCTATCATTATATGCAAGAAATCTTCTGAGCAGCTATATCCATTTTTTTTAATGATGGTGATAATGAACTGTTATTATCGCCTACCAGTTTGAAACTATACGCATCGATAACTTTTCTAGTCTACACAAGCTGGTTGTATTTATAGTTTTAGCACCTGTGAAGACAGCCATGTAGAGGTTTACAAACACAACGTTTTTGTGTTTATTTGTTTGTCGTATATATGTTTTGTATTTGCCTTTGAAAAAGACTCATTAAGAGTCGAAAGCGCTTAGGCTAGTTAGTTACTAGTTTCGTACTGTTCGTCGTCAGTTTATTGCATCTATATATATATATATATATATATATATATATATATATATATATATATATATATATATATATATATATATATATATATATATATATATATATATATATATATATATATTATAAAAACACGGGAAAGAAAGAAAAGTAAATAATTTAACCTTATAGAAAATCGCTGCCACCTATCTTAAAATTAAATGGTCTGTACATTGTTTGCTACTTGCATTTCGATTGATGTATCACATGTAATCTAAACACAGAAACTAAAATGGGCTGATTTAGCTTAAACTAAAAGCAGACACCCAGTAAATGGTACTTTACTGAAAGTAGAGAGTTTGTGTCTTTACAAAATTGAAAATTGTTAACAAAGGCCTACAATTTACTCTCTCTACTACTGATGTATGTTAACTTAGAGTGGTATCCAACACGCGGACAAAATAAAATATTTATCAGAGAAATGCTGGTAAACAAAAAACACTTACTCAACAAACGAGAAGATATTTAAAGCATAAGAAAAATCAAGTACAATTAAAGAAGCTTTTCCAAAGGTTGGATTTTCCCTAATATCTTTCACATCCAAATTTGGAAGATTGATACTAGTATCTTCAACGTTTGCTGCAGCAGCAAAGAAAAAAAGATTTATCAAATTCTGCTTTTTCGAATCCTGACAACGTTTCATTTATCAATCCATTCGCATTAGTGATCCATATTGATGGTATTGATGTTGAAATCTTTTATTGACAAATACACAAACTTTTCAAATAATCATTCGACCTTACACCAACAGAATCATTATTCTCCGAGTTACCATAATTTTTCCTTTCTGATTTTAATTATGGTTACTGAATTTTTTTAACCCAGTATTTGAATTATTAATATTACTAGCTAGTTTTGTCATGCGGTCGCGCTATTTGCTTATTCTCAAAATTGTACCGTCATGCCAACATTTGTCCCTCATCCAAACGGTTACTGTGCGAAATCGTATGTAATCTTTAGCAAACTGAATAAACGTCATTTACATCATAAGCTCCTGACTTATTTGTCCAATCTATACCAATGACAGATACAAGGGGCAATCTGAAATACATCCCCGGAACCCGAGTTCGTAAAGGGGCCCAGGCCGAAACAACACTTGTAATTTTATAACATAAACATTTTGTTTGAACAAGAACTTGGAGAGGCCAGGGTTTTCCTTACCCCAGAACCCATGATCGCTCTCTAAGGCCCTGTCTATTTCTAATGTAAGATTTTAAAAAAAAAAATTGGAAATCCGCGTTATTATAAAGCCATAATTCTCTTTTATAGCGGCTGATATATTCATAATACTGTCGAGTAATTTTAGACAGGAAAACTTGTGATATATTTGCATCAATAAAGATAATTCCAGAACGAAGAACATCCGCATTTGGAGATATAACAATGGGATCTAACAGTTGCAGAGGTATACGTTACCGCGGTGGGTACAGTTATTGTATTTTGCACATCAGTAAGCATTATCACCTCTCTGAGACCTCTGCATTCAGCAATTAATTGGTCCTCGTTTAAATCATTTCTAACATCGTCACACAGACTGAAAGGGTGGACGGTAGATTTCAAGTAATAGATATTTCACAAGTATTTCTGTCCCTATCCCTTCGATGTTTCGTATCAAAAGATCGGCACATGGTTTGAAAATAAAATATTCTGAAATATAGCCTATTACAACTTACCCACTATTTGCTCAATCACACCAAATTGATTTATGGCAAAGGTCAAGCTTTACCTGATCATCAGAAATGTGGTTATCTAAACGAATCTTCGTAAGTGCAATGATGTCAAAATCTTCAGAATCTGTAATAATTTATTCAAATTTAGGGAGAAAATTTCAAATATTAAAATTTATAAAAGATAACATTCTAGGTATCGATGACGTAATTCAGGTATTGTAACTATATAAATCAGATACGTCTGATAAATCATTTGGCCTGGATTCAGTTTAATGTCCCCGAATATAAGAATATTTACAAACAAATTATATATCATTGCGATTTTACTGAAAAATTGTGACAGCCACATTAAAAATCCAATCACACGCATGCACACGACCATGTGGTTATATGGTCTGTAAGGATTTAATCGTCATACTACGATCAAGGTTACTAAACCACGCACACGATTACTACGTGCGCGCCTCTCACGATAATGGAATACACACATATAATCCAGACTGAAAATGTATTGAATACGAATGACTTGGACTGATGGAACAAACAATTGGAAGATGAATAATAAGTAAATTACCGGACAATTAGTTCAGGCAGAACACGTAGACAAGGCGACATACCAAATTTAGAAAAACTAAACAAAAATTGAAAAAGTGCTATTCACATGTAAGACCAATGGGCAAAATGTTGGCCAATATTGATAAATAATGTGTGGGCGTTATTGAATGAGTAACTACCGAATTATTATTATTATTATTATTATTATTATTATTATTATTATTATTATTATTATTATTATTATTATTATTATTATTATTATTATTATTATTATTAAATCAAAATTAATAATAATACAAACTTTTAACATAAATAAAAATAGTCATAATTATAGAAAAAAAAACTAAAAATACATGTAATACACATAAGATATTATAGCCAGAAACAGTATAATTTCAGAGTAGGGTCGAGTATGTACATAGTTTTATTATAATGATTCAGATAATAACAGATGAAATGAGTGGCTATAAGATAAAATGCCTAAAGCTTACATAATTATTTTACTGCTCCGGTTGCCTAGTGGTAAGAGCCTCCACCTATGATACGGGAGGTCGTTGGTTCGATCCCCGTCCGAGTCATACCAAATACTTTAAAAAATGGTACTAACATTTGCTTCGCTAGGCCCTTAGCATTAAGAGGTTAGTGTTAGGACTGTTCGGCTAGGTGTCAGGATAATGTGACTGGGTGGGACATCATGATACATGTCTGTGGCATGATGCCCCAGTGCTAGTGCTAGACATCACCTTAGACTGACACAGGGCAGACACGTGGATATATGACTGAAAAATTGTTAGAGCTACGTCAAAAATCCAAATCACTCACTCACCTACTCACTACATAACTATTTTAAGAACCAAATTATATAAATCGCTGCTCTACTCTATACATGTAATACGTTTCTTTGAGTTAAAATTGGTAGAAACATTAATCCTTTAGTTCTTTTTAGGTAAAATATTTTGGTAACGGAGTCTGTATCTCTTTAACTATTACCAGAGACATGATGAGTACACATTTTGAACAGTCTCCTTAGAGGGAGCTAAAGTAAGGTATTGCGTGGACATCATCAAAGGCTGACTCGTCATGTCTCTCTCCGTATGAACATGGTTTTTTTTGGGGGGGTAGTGTCCTTTTTGTCTTGTAAAGATCTTGCCATAGAATATCCAGAAGGCATAAATCTCATTGGATTTATTAGTTGGATTAATTTCTGCTCCAGTTTGTGGCGTTAGTTTGTCGGATTCTCTCCGATGTAAATTTTGTCGTCATTTTCTCTCAGATTTTTAAGATTTGCTAGAAACTTGACCCTCGTCTTTTATGTTCCGAATTTGACTATTATCACTGACTTGCCATCTCTCACTTTTCTACAAAGATGTGATCGGTCTAGGACTTCGGGATTATATTCAACGTTTAAAAGTATTTGGACAGTTTCTCATACCAGATTGAAATGACTTTTTTTTCTCCCGGAGTTGTTGTCAATTTTCGCCGACATATTTTGGATACGGATATCATTTCTTCGTGAGCATTACTCTTGGTCATCGCATTATTTTACAATGTACTTATTGAAACCTCGAGCTTGGCAACTTGCTGTATTCTTCTGTACCAGTTTGCTGTGCAAATGAGCAAAGTTTGGTGTATACGATTGTGTACTTGTTTAAGCAAAGCCTGATGAACAAAAAAAATGAAGTTATGTTTCAGAATTTTTTCTCCTAGACTACTAATTACGCTTCTACTCTCTCAGCCTTCCCGATGAGCACCATCGTTTTGCAGTTTAAAAATGGAGGTCGAATACAACAAATTGAACATGCACGAGAAACGCCGCTTGAGAAAGACACCTATTCACCTTCACCCTTAGGTTAAGGTTATTGGTTAATATTTAGCTTCCATCAGTAAAATCCTGCCACGTGTGTTAAAGAGTCTATGATGAGCCATTTTACAAGTCACACTGCCTTTCATTGTCTTGTTTTGACGAATCCAGTTTCAAGCAATTAAGTGAAACAAGGCATTTGGGCACTAATTTACAATCTTATACTGTCTTGTGTTAAACATATTTACATTTAAAAGAGGTAAATCGTATGTGGTCTACATCTGAACTTGTACCATAAATTACGAAGTGTGTATTGGATTCATTCACACATATAAAACCAGTTTAAGCCATGTCCAGAAAAAAAAATCGAATGCACGATAATTAACATAAATCTGCATTGACGTACAAAAAGGAGTATTTATAAAATGTACTTTACATTCAGCAGTGTACTATCACGCAGTCCTTTATAATCAGCAGTGTTCTATCATAGTCCTTTACATTCAGCCGTGTTCTATCGTGTAGTCCTAGATTTAACAGTATTCTATCATGCAGTCCTTTATAATCAGCAGTGTTCTATCTGCAGTTCTAGATTCATTAGTATTCTATCATGCAGTCCTTTATAATCAGCCGTGTCATATGTGCAGTCCTTTAGATTCAGCAGTGTTCTATCATACAGTCCTTTATAATCAGCAGTGTTCTATCTTGCAATTCATTATAGCATACAGCAGTATGCTATAATGCTAAAATTTGCATTCAGCAGTGTTTAAATGCTGCACTAATCACTGGGCATGGGAATCAGTTGAAATTTAAAGATTGATCATTGGTTTATTGTCAGTGGTCAATTATTGACTCGATTTCGCAGGAAGGATTTTCTATATTTTCTTTCTCAAAGTCATTTTTTCCATGTTTGATAAAGTTTATGTGACTTGTACTCCGGTGAAGTTGTAAACCTATCACATTGCTAGGGTTTGGCTTCTATTACACAAGTAAATGCTATATAAAATAGATGCTGCTGTTTATTTTTTGTGATGGATTTCGTTTGTAAAACTTTAATTGGTCAACAATACAAAAAATGTTTACATTCCATAATGGGAAATAATATTCCCAAACCCGCTAATTTATTTTTCAATTATGTTCACACTACTAATATGCATTCTCAACATAACGTTTCTTTTGGAATTACAATACGCTTTATGAAAAAAATGAAATATCCTTTCAACTAATAAAATGTCTACATGGGTTTCTTTATCGGCTATGAAGAACCTTACTTAGTTTTGATAGTTCAGTTTCGACACCGTTCGAAAGACGTCCTTATATGACAAACAAAACTAACAAACCAATACGTTTCTCATGCAAGAAATAATTGATTGAAATTAATCATCGTGGCACCTCCACAAACTAAGGTAAATTGCTTAGCAACGAAGTGGAGTATCTCGTCACCGGTCTTAATAACTAACGAAATGCACATGATAACAGTGACATTGTAAGAAATTGCAAATTTAATAAGACCGCCGTCTTTTGCTTGCCTTGCATTAGTTTATTAAGGGTTCTAGACTTTCTGATAAAAGATCCATGTTATTATGCTACAAGATAAGGAATATATATATATATATATATATATATATATATATATATATATATATATATATATATATATATATATATATATATATATATATATATCCACTAAATAGGACATTTAATACAAGAAAATCAAAATGAGATGTGTATGGCCGAATGCTTTTTTCACTAATTTGTTTTGTTGATTGATTCGCTGCAGAGTAGAAATTAACAAGCTATTCACGTGGGAAATAGTGCACCTCAAAAATACACTTAGCGATCTTCTGTTTTCTGTAGGCTGTATATTACGACAACTGTCTGAATCGACAATTGCAAATGATGTTGTGTTGCATCATTAGTTATGGTTTTCCAGCAGACGTAATCCAATTTATTCTGCATCTAGTCTGATCACTGCAACAATGCGATGCTTGTTGGAATTGCAGCCCTATAATTTGCAATGAACAAAGACCAACATTTTTACTTGTGTTTTTTATATTTTTAATGTAGCTTCAACATATGTAGTCATATAGCTACGATGTCTGCAATGTGGCAGTTTATAGTAATGCCGAGCACTGGAGCATCATGAAGCCGACATGTAGCATCATGTCCGACCCAACCACATTATCCTGACACCAAGCAGACCAGTCTTTTGCATGACTCAACCTGGATTCGAATTTGCGACCTCCCGCATTGAAGGTATATGCTCTAACCACTTAGGCTAACAGAACGGTAAGACCAGATTGAATATAACGTACAAATTCATACGTGTGCATTACCAAGATGCTATTAAAACCCAGTGTCTATCCGATTCCACTTCCAGGAAATACTATGCACCACGATGTGGGGTTTCTCAAACAGAAGTGTAGCAAATTTATTTCTTAGTGACACTTAGACTTTCATTCTTTCGATGCAGCTGATCATCTTATTCCAATGATTCTTAACAAAGCTCATAACCAGTGCTATGTATTTTTAAAATTGTTTCGTTAAGGATTCTGTTGCCTGTGTAACTTGCATTTTTTGAAGTAGCAAAATATGCGCATGTCGATGCTATAAACTCCACAGTAGAAACATAATCTCTTTATGCACATAAATAAATATAATATAGAAAAATTTAAAGAAATTTAAAAGCAATATTAATGGTTGCATTCAAGAGCTGACATTTGAAATATTAATATTTCATTTCATATTTCATTTATAATTTAATAATATGATCCATTTTATAACTTTTTTTTTGTTCTTATTCATTTTATAATTTTAAAAGGCTGTTATTAAAAGTTTAAACTGGTCGACCAAGTTTTGGGGTCAAAATTTGCTCTGTTATTATACTACCTCTCAGAGCTATTTATAATTCTTTCAGCTCAGCAGCTCACAGAGCCTGATGATATATTCAATCGCTATGAACAAATTGGTTCCGATTTTTAAAAAAAAAATATCTCAGCATTATGTTTCAAACCTTTACATCCTCCTATAACGGTAAATGTGTTGTGAAGTACTTCCTGCCATTCACTGTAGGCCACATCTATCCTCTGCTGGCTCGCTAGTGTAGAATATGCCTGGTGTACTCTTCTGAATGACGTATTCATGACGTGATACTAATGAAGCCGCGGCCGTGATTACTCGGTGGTTAGAGTTTCTGGACTGGCGACCGAAAAGGTGTGCAATCGAATCCAACCATTGAATCAACCTGGGTTGGCTACTGTTGTGTTGCCAATGTGGATCTATTGCCTCGGCATTAAATAATCTACTTGTGTTAAAGTGACACACAACACCAAACCGAATTAAACAAACAAAATATCGCTTGTATTCTTACTGTAGTTTTGTAAGTCTACATAAATATTAAATCGTATCCGACAAAGTCTTAGTACTAGATAATACAAATATTAGTTTCAAAATTTCAAAAGTATATGGAATGTAGAAAATAAACATGACCCTTTCACAGTTTCATTTCATTTTAAAATAAGAACATTTCCGTTTCATCAGGAAGATCGTTATTCCAATTAGAACTGAAGTTAACTCATATTTAGCATTTGCTTTGCAAACCTCAATCAACTGGAAAGATCGAAATATATTTGATAAAATATTTATCAATAAACTTTTACAATGCCCTTGAAAGATGATATTTATTAACATTATCAGAAGTTTTTTTCGACCAATATCCTTATGAAATACATTGTGTTATGTATATTTAATTTATATTTTGTGCTTGACCTTAGTCTT